AGAACAGGGATGGGATTATCAGAGCCATCTCTAAAGGCTACCCTTTCCAGCATTTGTAAGCTCCATTTTATTTTTCCTTTATAAAAAAAAATGATATACATGAACCATTATATTAGTATATTGTTGTTTTCAAACACTGAGGAAGCCAGGCATGGTGGTGGCACGTACCTGTAGTCCCAGCAGGAGAGGCTAAGGTAAGAGGATTGCTTAAGCCCAGGAGTTGTAGGCCAGCCTGGGCAACAGAGCAAGATCCCTTCTCAAAAGAGAAAGAGAGAGATTGAAGGATTGAACTAAATGCATTTTTGACTTGCAATGTTTTCAACTTATAACAGATTTATTAGGATTCCTAAGTGGAGACAGAACCCTATCGGTACACTATTTTGCAACGAGTGCTGGTCAGATCCTTGGTCTTCTGTACATGCCTGCAGGCTGCTTAGCAAAGATGTGAGAGGGATTGGGCCCCTCCAGTGCCCCTTCAGAATCTATCCTTGAGCCGGGTGCCATGGCACACGCCTGTAATCCCAGCGAATCGGGAGGTTGAGGCAGGAGGATTGAGAGTTCAAAGCAAGCCTCAGCAACTTAGCAAGGCCCTAAGCAACTCAGTGAGACCCTGTCTCTAAATATAAAAAAGGGCTGGTGATATGGCTCAGTGGTTAAGTGGCCTTGGGTTCATCCCCGAGTAGAAAGAAGAAAGATGTGTGTGTGTGTGGGGGGGGGTGTCTGTCCTTGAATTCTCAATCTGGTACCTCTCACCTGAGTAAAAGTCACATAAATGCAAAGAAATCTCTGTCTCTATAATATGCTGTGACCAGACTTGGCTCTGGCAGGAATAGACCACACTGAAAACCAGAGGTGCACATAAAGGTAGCAGGTGGGAGAAGGTACCATCCAAGGAGCCAGAGGGGTGTAGCGTAGGCAGAGCTGGAATGCAGAACAAGGGCTCAGAACAAAACAGAGGAGAGCTCTACACACAGGGTACAGTGCTGTGCGTGCTGGTCTGCCAGATTCACAGTTCCCAGGATGGGACAGATGGGGCGCAAGCCCCTAGGAGCAGGGGGAGGGGATGACAGAATAACCAAGCAGGAAAGTGAGTGAGGAAGATAACTGTGCAAATCTACTGGACTTGCCCCAGTGAAATTTGGAGGGAAAGACAGAAAGACTCCACATGACCTACCTTGGGAGAGGTGGTGCAGTGACAGATATGCAGAAATGCGGAGTCAGAGCCCAGAGGCAGATTTCAGGGGATGAATGCAATGGATGCATAATGGTGGCCTTTTCTGCTGGTTTCTTTCTGCTCCCTGAAGCTATTGCCATGGTGAGTCCATGGAAGAAAGGGGCGACCGGTTAAGAAAGTTCTTATAGCTCCTTAAATAGGCCTCCTCCCTCGATCTGCCTCTCGTTGGGTTATCACTCTTGCTTAATTTTCCTTAACCTCCACTCAAATACATACTCCCTGAGGGACGCCCATCCAAGTTGGTCAGCCCTGCAGCACTGGATAAGGAATTCAAAGGGGATGTCAGCTTTGAGCGGCTAGCTCCATCTCTGACACCCAAGATAGAGTTTCGGTTACAGTTACAGTCATAACAGAAGAGACTCTGAAGCCCACCTAAGGTTTCCAAGGGTGACCAACTCAGAGAAGGCAAGTCAAAGTGGCTGGAAGCATCTTGCGATGATCAGAGGGGGGGCAATCTGTCTAAGATATCCTAGTAGCAGCTGAGCCACAGGAAGTCGGAGGGAACGAGAGAGGAAAGATGAGAAAAGGCTGGGTATAGGAGACAGACATAGTAAATTCTGGGCCGTCTTCATGGAGATCTTCATGAAAAACTATCGGATGCCTTCAGGGAGAAAAGAAAGGAGATACAAAATCCCCAAGGCTTAGCAGTATTAGCAACTGCATAAAAACATTTGGAAACACCACAGCTCCTTTTGGGCAAGAGAGCAAATATGAAGGTCAATAGGTTAAATTAGGATTTTTGAATGCCCAATGCAGACACTTCTCTGGAAGAATCTTTCACAGGTGTCCCTGCAGATACCTGGGACCAAGGTCTACCAGAAAGCCCATTTAACCAGCAGGAATGACTGACAAATCCAAAGTGACAATATCCATTTCAGTCAAGGTCCAAGAGAATAAACTCAGGGATAAGGACAGAATAAAGGCTCTTGTCCAGGAACTAGTTCTGCCAGAAGGGAGGGCTGAGGGCCTCCGGGAACCTTTGTTCTTTCCTACTGTGTTCAAAAAACAATAGTAATGCAAGTTTCTCAAAAACAGAAGTAAAGCTACAGGAAGGGAAGCTATAATCATAACAAATAGTATTAATAGTACTAAAGTCACTTTTGGAGATGCCTTTGGAGAGTGGACCAAAGAAGAGTCCCCCTGTGGCTTCCTAGTATCTGTGGCTTCACAGTACCTGAGCCCCAGCAGACAATTTCCCTGAGTTCTGGGACACCCCATCCCTCCCAGCACTTCTGCAAGTGCCATGGTAGAGGGACTTATTATCTGGGTGGTCAGTGTCTCTGGGCAGTGGGGGACCTGTATGCAGTACCGTGGAGTCACCCCTCCATATCCATGAGGAATGGACTCCAGAATCCCCTCCCTTCATGGATCTGAGATTCATGGATGCTAAAGTCCCTCATATAAAATGGCATATTGTTTGCATATAACTGTGCACATCTACCTATATACTTTATAAATCATCTCTCGATGACTTAGCCTACCTAATAGAATGTCAATGCTGATGAACGCGGTGGCACACACCTATAATCCTCGTGGCTTGGGAGGCTGAGGCAGGAGGACCACGAGTTCAAAGCCAGCCTCAGCAACTTAGTGAGGCCCTAAGCAACTCAGCAAGACCCCATCTCTAAATAAAATACAAAAAAAAGAGCTGGGGATGTGGCTCCGTGGTTAAGTGCCCTTGGGTTCAATTCCTGGTACCAAAACAGCAACAACAAAAAAAGAAAGTCAATGCGATGTCCATAGTTGTTACAGTGTATTGTTGAGTGAATAATGACAAGGAAGGAAAGCCTGTTCATGTTTAGCACAGACTCAACATCATAGGCCTAACTCCAGCCACAGAACTTACAGATGCAGAGGTGGACTGGATTGTGTTGCCAAAGGGTATTTCTTTGTATTAACTATGTGTATTCTAACACAGTAAATCAATCTTATTTCCTTTTCTCTCCCACAAGGTCCTGTTCTGCCACAAACTTTCTCCCCTTGCTTTTGTCCTGGCGAGATGCACTACACCAATCCCAGCCTTCTCAGGCCACATCTGTGGCTCTGGTTTTGAACGGGTAAGTGTGACTTAGGATCTACTGGAGGAGTTGGGGGGATAAGAATCAGTGGGGAGCGAGGTGAGGAGAAAGAACACAGTAGGAAAGACAATGGAAAGAGAAAGACAAGGGACACTGATTTAATCAAATTTACCTCGCTTAATTTCTTATTCCCCTGTGGCTCTACTGAAGTGTTTTTTCTCTTAGCGATAAGAACCATATATTTTCTACCCTACATTATTTAATTAATGATATCACTTCAATTTATCCCTACAGTTAGAGAGCAGTAATGGCCAGCCGTGGGGACACTCAGCTGTAACCCCAGCGGCTCCAGAGGCTGAGGCAGGAGGATCGCGAGTTCAAAGACATCCTAGGCAATTGAGTGAGACCCTGTTTCAAAATTAAAAATTAAAAGGGTCATGGATGTATCTCAGTGGCAATATGTCTCTGGGTTCAATCCCTAGAACTGCCAAAAAAAAAAAAAAAAGTAATAGGTTAATGCCTAAGGGTCTTTTTTTTTTTAATCAATCAGCAATCTAGAAAGCCAAATTGTAGCAGTATTCATTCTTCAACACTGTTTGGACCTTAAGTCAAGGAATCTGATTTTTTAAGGTTTCATAATTACTTCACCCAAGTCAGGGTGAGTGAAAACTGCCTTTGTCTAGAATGGCTTTGCAGACAGCGACTGTGAAGCAATTGTATTGTTCCATTTCGCACCATACAATTTCACTGAAAGGCAGATTGATAAAAATCAGCCAGGCCAGTTTCTGGACGTTACCCGCCCTCCCTCCCGGAGGGCGAGCCTCGGGGCAACCTGTGCCTTCTGGCTGGTCCTCCCAGGGACACGCAGACTACCTGGCTCTCCTGGGGAGGTTCTCAGGCACTTGTCCCCAACACGCTCAGAAATGATGTGGCCACAGGTAAAGCCCAGGCCTTTGCTGTGGACGGATGGCTACCTCCCACTTCTGCGTCCTGGAGTCAGAGGACAGGGGTCTGTTTTCTGTCACAGTTGTTCTTCCTCCCTCTTCCTTGTTCACTGACTGGCCAACAGACCTTGGCTGCAGGTGTGTGCTAGGCCAGGAGTCTGCCACGCTCTGGGAATACCTCGAGGAGCTTCCATCTAGGGATCATGGTGGGGCGGTACTAGGTACTCTCATTATTATGTTGTCATGATTTGTTTTCCTGCTGCATCTCATACTATGGATCACTCGCTTCCTTCTTCATTCTAGAAAATAGTTACAAACCAGTATGGAAGGTGCTGGCCTCAAGAGAAGCCCAAGCTCCAAAGAGCATATCAGAGCATGGCCTATACCAAGCTGGGGATGGAGTGGTCACAGTCAGGGAAGATTGCCCGGGGGAGGTGGCTCCAGCGCCTACTTTCATTCCAGTGATGTTAATTGAGCAATTATCATGTGCCTGGCACTGTTCTGAGTACTGTAGACGTACAAGTTTCTTCATACTGGATATTCCCATTTCAGGAGGAAGAGACCCACTAATGGGCAGAGAAATGTGAAAGAAAGAAGCAGGAAGAGATGGAAAGGTGCTGTTTAAGGTGAGACACTAAGGATGAGATGGAAGGAAGTCAAGGAACTGGCCTAAGTCAAGGACAAGCTTGATGTACCGTGGGGAGGGGGATGACTGGGTTGGTTAGAATTTAAATGGGCCAAAGCAGCAGGAAGGGGTGGAGGTCAGAGAGCCAACAAGGACAGATTAGGCTAGGCTTTACAGACTATGGTTTCAAATTTGAATTTTATTGTATGCATCATGGAAAATCATCAAAGGGTTTTAAACCAGACAGTGACAAGATCATATGGTTGTGTCAGAGTGATCGTTTTAGCTGCTTTGTGAGGCCATGGAGTGGTGAAGAGAGAAAGTGCTCAAAGGAAATAGCCCTGGGAGAGGTGGTCCATTCCACAGGATTGCTAGGGTGTTCTCTGTGGCCAGCTACAGAACACCAGGTGGGATGGAGAGAGGTAAGGCTGGAGATGCAGACCAGGGCCAGATGAACAAGATTCTCACATGCCATGTCCATGTTCTCATGTGCCATTTTAAGCACAGCAGGTTTATATGGAAGATTATGGGTGGCCACTGAATGCCTAGAAGCAAAACTGATGTGGTCACAGTTTACCAAGCTCATTCCATGGTTTTTTGGATTGTGGGTAGTATCGAGGTAATGGATTCTCTGGATTAAAAGGACCCAGTGTACAAAATACATTCTCTCTTTAAAGACCCAAACCTACACTATTTTTCAGAGTTACTAAAACGTATTAACATGCTTCAAGTTCTTACACATGAAACAATGGCTTCCTCCTGCCCCAAAGCCCAGTGGGTAAAGGAAGGGAGTTAGTTATTCCAACTTAAGGCATGTGGCTATAAGACACAGATTTATATCAGGAATATATATTTTCATCAAAAATATAGATCTAAGTCAGAAAATGGGGGAGGTGCTCCTTTAGATAGATATGTGGTATTTTGTAAAGATGTGGGTTCCGGAACCAAGATGGCGCCATATCTTGCCAGTTGTGTGACTTGAGTCCAGTTCTTTGCCTTTCTGGTTCCAGTTTTCTTGTCTGTAAAATGGGAGGCCATACAAGACCCACTCAGAGAGCTGTTATAAGGTTTAAATTAATTAACCCAAGGAGTGTACCTAGACCAGAACCCCGGAACAGAGTGAGCACCCGGTACAAGCCACTCCCGTTATTATGTTTTTATGATTTATTTTCCTACAGGATCTCACACTACTGATCACTCACTTCCTTCTTCAAACTCTCCTCCTTCCTTTGGCTTCTAGGAGTCTGGACTACTCTGGTTTTCCTGCTTTGCTCCTTTTGGGGTTATTTTACTGGTTCCTCTTCATCCTCTCCCTCCCTCCATCTGTCCATCCTGTCCTCAGCAACCCCACCCTGTGGCTGGCTGCAGCTGTTCTCTATCTGGACAAGTCCCAAGCCCATCTCCGGGGATCCAACCACCCCTGAGTACCACACCCAAGTCCCCAACCATGCCGCTCCCCCCGGATGTCACATCAGCAGTTCAGACTCAGTGGGGTCAAACAGCTCACCATCTTCCCCAAACCATTTCCTGCTTCTGAAGTTCTCTGGGCTAGTCCATCCATTCACTCAGTCCTCGGTCATTCTTGACTCTTCTCTCTCCCTCACTCTTCACACCCAGTTGGTTAGTGAAGCCCAGTCTGTTATTTCCTCACCGTCTCCAGAATACAACCCCGTTTCTGCTTCTCCACCACCAGCATCCTATTCCCAGTCACGTTAACTGTTGCAACGGCCTCACAATGATCTCCTTACCACTGGTAATTTTAAAAATATATATTTTTAAAATTTTTATTTTTAGAGGAGGAAAAGTTTATTCGGAACTCCTGGTTTCAGAGGCCTACTCCGTTGCTCTAAGCCCGAGGTGAGGCAGGACACCGTGGCAGAAGGGTGTAGCCAAATAAAGCAGCTAGGACAGGGCACCGAGAAGCAGAGAACACTTCTGATATTTATTTATTATCTCTACTTTCTCTCCCCTCAAGTTCCAAACACCATCTCTAAGGGGGCCTCCTGATGCTCAGAGTCAAGAGAGACCATTAGGTCTGAATGTTCCCAGCCTTCCCCCCGCATCCAGCCCACTCCCCGATTTCTATGCCTACACTCATCCTCCAGTTCAACCTAATCCCCTCACCTGAACTCCACACTCGAACTTTTTCATCTCTACTCCAATTCAATTTCCTCTCTCCCTCCTCTATACAACCACCAAGATCTGATTTCCATGGTCACTATTTAGGTTCATTGCCAGAATCAAAGGGATTCTCACTAGGGCTGAGAAAATATGCACTAATCACCAATGCCCAGCCATCTCCAGGCCTTCTTCTGGCACGTGAAAGATAGCCAGAGATCACCCCGTGTTTGAGAAACGAACAGACCAACACTTAACTCTATTCACTAAAGAAATTGGGCCCTGGGGAAATAAGTACTACAGAAAAGAGAGGAGAGCTTTAAATTAAGTATAATTAGTGTCCCGAGAGAAATGTGCAAGGATGCTAAATCCCTGACGGGCTGGCTTCGGAGAAAAAGGGCCATCAGAGTTATAGGGAATTCAACGATGGGATGGATGGCAGAAGGTCAGCCGTGAGGAACGAGCTCACTAAGTGGTAGACTGGGCTGATTGGCCCAAAATAAAGCTTAAAAGACCAAGAGATATCAAATGTGAACTAGAAGTTAAGAGACAAGAAGGCATGATCCATGAACCTAGCTACTTTACAGAAATTGCTGGATAGGACAGAGAGGATGGGGGTGGAGGGTGATAAAGAAATGGCAAGAATACTTTGCAGGGCTGAAGAAAGATTCAAGCATTCATGTTAAAAGGGATCAGTAAGTAATGTGCAAAAATAAACATTTTTAAAAAGTCACTGTAAGTAACCTTTATTTTCATAATTAAAAAAATAAAAGAAATTAAAATAGGCCCAGTGTGGTGGAGCACGCCTGTAATCCCAGCGGCTGGAGAGGCTAAGGCAGGAGGATCTCGAGTTCAAGGCCAGCCTCAGCAAAAGCGAGGCACTAAGCAACCCAGTGAGACCCTGCCTCTAAATAAAATACAAAATAGGGCTGGGGATGTGGCTCAGTGGCCGAGTGCCCCTGAGTTCAATCCCTGGTATCTCTCCCCACCCCCACCCCCAAAATTAAATAATTTCTTAGTGTCCTCTGTGTGTGTACACACACACACACACACATACACACAGAGAGAGAGAGAGAGAGAGACATGCTTCAATGGCTAGGAGGGATGGAGACCCTCTCAGGAGGCAGAAAAAGGTAAGTGGCAGAGTGGAGTCCACTTAGGGTCTAGTTCTGACCAAAGCAGGATTCCTCAGAGCCTATCCCAGGGTCCCCTCACTGCTGCCCAGCTGGGGGGGGGGGGGCAGGCCGCACCCCAATCCCAACCTTCTGTTCAGACATGAGTTTCTCTCTGCTTAAAACGGCATCCCACATTCCCCAAAGAGGGGCCTTGAGGAAGGGGTTTTGGGGGCGAGTCCAACCAGGACCTTGTGTTCCCAAGACAATCCAGCAGGAGGAGGATCCCGAGCTGGCTGGGCCGGCTGGAATGAAGGACAAAGCCACCCGGCTGAATGTCTTGTCCCCAGGGTTAATCTGCAAAATGTCCACAGCAAGAAAGGGGCGCAGCAAGAAGTGGACCAGGCGAGCTGTTGGGGACAAAGCCGAGAACACAGGAGAGTGCCGGAGTCCCCCACTAAGAGGCACCTGTGCTCAGAGAGAGGTGCTGTTGCCCCCGGGGCCCCTCCATCAGGTCTTCCCAGACCCCTCAACACTGCTAGGTGTCACCCTCAGTCTCCAAGAGGAACCATAAGAAACTGCCAACAGTCCACCGTGTTTGTCCTTCAAAAACGTTGGTTTCAGGTGATTCCATCCAATGCACCAAGAGGAATTTGAACCACAGAATCTCTGTTTTTGTAACCCATTTTTCTCCAGGTCTTACCATGTAATAGATAAAAGCACTATGGACCAAAGAAATTGTATGAATTTATTTTTACCTTGCCAAGAAATTTTCCATAGTTTCTTAGATAGTTCCTCTAAAGCTCTTAAATAAAAATATGTTTGTAAAACCCTTTATTATATAAGGTGGGGTCCTCTAGCAGTTCAAATGCAATAAGTGCAGAGAGAAAAGGAATGTCCGTGGGCTAAGAACCTACTGGGTGCCACTCAGAGTGGCACTTCCATTCAATTTTTCATTGACTCACCACAAAGATCTCTAAAGAAACACATAGTTGGAGCCTCAATCACTCTAGAGGCTGAGGCGGGAGGATCACAAATTTGAGGCTAGCCTCAGCAACTTAGTGAGGCCCTAAGCAACTTAGCGAGGGCCTCTCTCTGAGTACAACCCGATCTCAAAATGAAAAATAAAAGGGGGTGGAGATGTGGGTCAGCAGTTAAGCACTTCTGGGTTCAATTCCTAGTACAAAAAAAAAAAAAAAGAAAGACACATGGTTGGTCCTGTCTCAAAATTAGGGAAGTCATCTTACAGACCAATTTTAAATATAATAAATCACATGTTCAGTTTTTTTTTTTTTAAGTTAGGGAACTGAGGCTACCAGAGATGCAGAAATACATCAAGCCAGGCACAGTGGTACATGCCTTCAGTCCCAGCTACTCAGGAGGCTCAGACAGAAGGATATTTGAAGCCAAGGAGTTCAAGAATCAAGACCAGCCTGAGCAACATAGCAAGACCCTGAGTCAAAAAAAGAAAAAGAAAGGAAGAAAAGAAAAGAAAGGTGAGTTAAAGAGGGAAGGGAAAAGAAAAGAAATAACCAGACACCACGGAGCTACACCAAGTGGTAGAAGTCTAATTTGGGGAAAAACAACCCCCCCCACACACACACACACACGAACACCAACACACAAACAAGAGAGCATTGAAAATAATGAAGATATCTTCCTAAAGATTCTGAAAATAGTATAGTTGGTTCATTTTTGTAAAAATATGCCATTTTGTCCAGTACCAAAAAAAAAAATTTTTTTTTTAAAGTCCCTTTCTAGTGTGAAATGTGCAGGACCCATATGTGCCTGTGTGGAGACATCCCCGCTTGACACCAGTCCTGTGGGTTCCAATTCCATTTTGTGGAACTTTCCTTGCCCTTCTCTGGTCCTAGGGAGTGACAGAAGGCACCTCCTTTCTTTCTAACGCTAGACAAGGCCAGTTTCAAACAATGGTGACGAGCTACTTACCAGGGGCCCCTTGTAGGAGCTGGTCCCCATTTTTGTACCCAGTAAGACCAAACACTCCGCCTGCAGAGCCTCTCCATTGCTCTGCAGTGGCAGACAAGAAGTGGAACCATGACCTTGAATTCTAAGTGCTCCAGGTCAATATTTCCTGAGTGGTTTCCCCCTCTCCCTCTGGGCTGTGCACACGCTTCCTCCTGGGCTGCCCGCGTCTGCAAAAGGAAGAGCTGTCACAGCAATATGAGACAGGAAGCCAACGGCCAAACATGGTCAGTGCACAAAAATCAAGAAGGAAAAATGCACTTGGTGATCTAGCAACCTCGGTGCCTTTGAGTAAGCAGAGATAAGTCACATGCCAAGTCCCTGAGGGCATGTAGGAATGTCTTCCTACCCAACTGGCTTCAGACATTTGGTGGGCACTGTGTGCAAGGTAGTGAAGTCCTCCAGCCAAGTTCAAGGTACTGGATCACGCTCTTCTGTAAAATCGATTATTCTCTCAGATAGGTCTGACTTCTGGAATCCAGATCCAGAATTTACAAAAATCAAAAGAAGATCAAAACTAGCAGCACACAACTAAAGTGATTCAACAGAATTTTCCAAATAAGAACCCTTCCCTGATGGTACACTCGGGTGTCCAAGAACTTCGGCCCGTACCTTTGTTGTTGTGCATTTACTGGACACAAAGGCAAGTGCAACCCATCTGAAGCATCATGGGCAGCGAGCGCAAAGTGACACGAGATTGCAAAAGAGCCACTGCCCAGCGATAAAGGGGAAGGAGGGCAAAAAGAGGAGCTCAGCATTTTAAAAGCAGAAAAACAAGTCAGGGACCCCCCCTTCCTCTCTCCGTCTCCAAATTTCCTTAGTAAAATGAGGTGGGAGTGGGGTTAAATAAAGACGGACGGAGTTTCCTTCCTATCTGGTCACAAAGGATCCGTGTGGTGCCTGGGACCTGGCCTGAAGGTTCTGCCTTGAGTCATCTATCTGTAAGGGGACAAGAGAGTAAAGGAAGTTCAAGCTGCCCATTTAAGTGACTGGGTTGTATAGAAAGTTGGCTGCCATATAAAGTAGCAATAGGGAATTTTCTAAGGGAGAATTTTCTCTGGGAAGAATTAAAAGCAAAAAAAAAAAAAAATCACCAATACTTTGGGAAATAATGAAACACAAGGAGAGTCACATCACAGAGTTGGCATGGGTGACTCCCTTAGTCATGCATGAAACCACTGAATACCTAGCCAATTCACCCCAGGATTATTGGTCCTGCACTGAATAAAACCCATGATTCCAATCATCTCAGGGGATTGTGACAGCTTTCACTTCTCAAATAAAATTCTTTTTATTTGTGTGTGTGTGTATGTGTGATAATAGGGACGAAACCCAGAATCTAGTACACGTTACCACCAATCTATACCCCCAGCCCTAAAATTATTCTTAATTGACTTTAATTTTTTAAAAAAGTATTAATCAAGGCATCAAATCAAACAGCGATATGAAAAGAACTAAAAAAACACTTTAAATATTTGGGGAATTTTTGCCTTTTTTTTTTCTTTGATTCCTTCCTCAGATGCTACTACACATCTTTAAAAAAAAAAAAAAAAAAATCTCCTTTCCTTTCTCTCCTCATTCAAATAGTTGAGGAGAACATGCCCTGGCCTTTGATGCTCTGACTCATGCATCAAACATCCAACCTCCTTCCCAGTCTTAGTATTTGCCTGTGTTAGGCAAAATCTACCAGAGAACCTCTTCTTCTTTCACACTGAGTAGATACAGAGCAGGAATCCTCAGGTGAGCATAGTAGAGTTGCTTCATCCACACAGTCCCATAATAAAAAGCTCACAGCTGGGCATGGTGGTGCACGCCTGTAATCCCAGGGGCTTGGAGGCTGAGGCAGGAGGATCTAGAGTTCAAAGCCAAACCTCAGCAGAAGAGAAGCTGCTAAGCAACTCAGTGAGACCCTGTCTCTAAAATAAAAATATAAAAAAAGGGCTGGAGATGTGGCTCAGTGGATGAGTACCCCTGAGTTCAATCCCTGATACCCCCTAACACCCCCACACACACACACTCAAAAAAAGGAGCTGATGGAAATGGGAAGATATAAAATTCAGGGAAATGGCTCCAAAATATACACTCAGAGACAAGAAAGTGTTCCAAATAAAAGTCTGAGGCAGCAATAACAGGGTTGTTGGGGTAGGGTGACCCTTGCTCTTTATCACTAGTTGTTTAAAAGATGAAGCACCACAGCCACTTCTACTATTATATTTTTTACTCTCTAGAAAATTTTCTTCCACCTAGGAAAAGTTCTGTTGTAGTAGTGCCCAGTAAATATCTGGATGAATCAATAAACAGGGGAGTCTTAACAATAAACAGAGGAGTCTTATATTGGTGTATTTATTCAACACATTGTCATTTATTGAAGTCCTGTGGTGGTTTTAAAATATGCACAAATTCTTTTTTCCTTTCTTTCTTTTTTTTATTTTTTCTTTTCTTTTTTTTAATACTGGGGATTGAACCTAGGGCCTTGTGCATTCAAGGCAAGCACTCTACCAACTGAGCTATATCCTCAACCCCGCAAATTCCTTATACGTTACCCTTCCAAACATAGATCCTAATCCCCCCTCCCACTGAATTTGAGCTGTATTTAATTACTTCTAATGAACTCAATGCTGTCAGTATGGCTAAAATAATGATTCAAGCAAGTTAGACTCCTGGAGGTATAGAAATTTCCTCTTTGCTCTTTCTCTTGGATCACCCCCACTTAAAGAATGTAATGGAAGGCTCTCAAACAGACACTTGGAGAATACCACACAGCAGTAAGAAGTGCAGGCTTCCTGCCAACAGCCAAGTGGGTGCGCCATCTTGAAAGAAGATCCTTTGGCCCATTCAAGTCTTTGGATGATGACAGCCCTGGCTGATATCTTGACTGCAACCTCATGACAGAACCACCCAGCTGAGTTGCTCCTGAATTCCAGACCCATAAAAACTATGACATAATGAGAGTTTGTTGTCTTAAGCTACTGAGTTTTAGGGCAATTTGTAATGCTGCCACAAATAACTAATATAGGCCTCTGTCCTACTATTTGCCAAACTCTAGAGGTACAACAGTACATAATCGAGTTCTGTCTCTGCCCTCACAGAGCTCACTCTATTAGGCAATCAGATAAAAACTAATTGATGCTCTCATACGAAGATGAAGAGTGAGGTACCCATGGGTCAAAGTTTAAAGGGAGAACATAGAGCAGGATCACCTAGTCCAGTCTGGAAGGTCATATCTAAGTGATATCTAAGCTTTAGACCTAGAAGATAAGCAGGACTCAGCCAGATGAAGGCATATAAGGGAGGAATAGTCTAAGCAGGTGAATTAGCATGTACTGAGGGTTATACCTGAGAGGTAACAAGTGAAATTGGGGGACTGCGAGTGCAGACAGAAGAGCTGGGGCGGGTCACAGAGGGCCTTCTGAGCCAAGGTAGAGCATTTAAACTTTATCCTTGGAGCAGAAAGCAATCGCTGGAAGAGTTTGAAGCAGGAGTCTCCTCTGAGAGTTATGGGGGTTGTCAGGAGCAAGGATTCACACAGGGTAGCAGTGACGACACCGTGAACTAAAGTAGCAGTAATGAGATGGAGGGAAATAAAAAGATCCAGGTAATTATAGAATGGAACTGAAGGGAAAGGCTGTCATGGAGACAGAAAATGTCCCAAAGGGGCATCGACATCTTTCTAATGGACAATAATATTATTCTATGAACATTGTAAATAAGATTGCTATGAAATCCCAGGCACCACCAGAAATCTTCCCTTTTGCATTAGACCTTGTGCATATGTGGGTCTCTCTCAGCCCTCCCCGTCACCTCCTGTACCTCCAGCAAGTACATCTGCCCTGTCAGCAACCCTGCTCTTAGAGAGCGGGAGCTAAGAATCATTATTCTTATCACACGTTCAACGTCTACTACAGTGCCTGGCACACAGATAATGCTTATGGGAAGAGTCAATAAGTTGAAAGTGTATCTACACATGCACTTTTTAAAGCAGAGAAATGTGGCTTCTAGGAGTGGAAAAAAGTTATCCATGAGGAGCCAGGGAAAGATTGGTCGAAGTCCCGGAGGTTTGCCCATATTCTAGATGAGAGGCGTAGAGATCCACTCTGACATGGAGCTCAGCCAGATAATGAGCCAGGCAACCGAGCAGCCTGACCGCACAGCAGGAAGAAAAGATAACAGCCAAGAAGAGTTTTGTTGGTTTTTCTGTCCTTGCTAGGGGAACTCCCTCAGAGGCAGCAGACCCAAGCAAGAAAGCAGTTGTATCTCTAGGTAAATGCTAAAGCTTCTCTGTCACAGGATGTAGAAGTGGTGAGGGCTCTGGTGACCAATGATGACTTGGGAACCCGGACCAACAAACCCCCCAATGTAATCCAGCAAAACCCAACACATGACATGACATTTCAAACCCAGCAAGAGACAAAACACAGACCCCCCCCAACAAAGAGGAAGTGATGTATTCACCCTAGCCAAACAATGAAGTCGACACTTCGAGGGGTGGAAAATAATCAAGTACAAAGCAACAGCCTAAATTCCCTGAAAGAGCACAGAGAGTTGGGACCTAAAACAGCTACAGCTAGCAGGATCCCATCTAGTCAGCCCTGTGGACCAAGACTTAGGGCTACCAGGTTCTGGAAAGAGCCTTCTAGAAACAAATCTTCGTGCAAATGACATTGCAGAAAAGAATTAAAACGAGAAGGGGGCCAGGCCCGGTGGTGCAAGCCTGTAATCCCAGAGGCTCCAGAGGCTGAGACAGGAGGATCGAGAGTTCAAAGCCAGCCTCAGCAACAGTGAGGTGCTAAGCAACTCAGTGAGACCCTGTCTCTAAGTAAAATACAAAAAAAAAAAAAAAAAAAGGGGGCTGGGGATGTGGCTCAGTGATCCCGTGTCCCTGAGTTCAATTCCCTGGTACCACCTCCCACCCACCCCACCCCACCCCACCCAAAAAAAAAAAAAAAACTGAGAGGGGAGGAAATGCCATGGAGTGGACAGTAAGAAAGGTGACCTGAAAGATCTTGAATGAGATGTATTCAGACGTATGCCTGGAATTGACAATAAAGATGTAATCTTCCACGTGAGGATGCTTTGCAGCATCCCAGCTATCTCAAAGTGACATAAACATGGAGTTAGGTGTTCCCAGTGCCCCTAGGGGAATTCCATTTTCAT